CACGGTGTGTATCAGAGCAAGCGGATGCTGGTGAGATGGTCCTTCATCGATATTACACTCCTAAGATTGGTCAGAACTACTGACTAAACTCCGGAGTGTCGCGTCAATGAAGGTCCAACTAGTACACCTTTCTAGCTGTTCTACGTGTGGAATATCAGGTCTGGGGTAAATGGAAACACGAAATACGAGAAGTGGCCATACCCGTGGGCAAGGCACAGTATCGGTATACAATCAGTCAACATCGAAGACGTCTGAAGTTATATCATCTATGTTGCTCTTCTGCGCGAATCAGCAGTAGTTTCAACGGGTTTTATCCCTACCATCTTCTCAACCACAGCCTAAAATCATTAATAGAAAATTAATTTGAAATCGCTTCATTTGGATAGCCCCTACTAACCTGAGCTTGATCCCAGTCTAACGCTTCGTCATCGTCGTCTTCTTCAACTGGCCTAATAATGTCCTCATTCCCAGCTCCAAGACCCCAGCCACCGCCACGCTGGTGGTACTTCGTCAGCCCCTTATCAATCCCCCCAATTTTTGGAGTCTCTCCACCCTCTTCTTCTTCCTCCCGCTCATCTGTTGCGGGCATCGTTGCCCACCCACCAACAATCCCAAGGACACTCACTGCCCCAGAGGAGCCAATCCGCCCTCGTCGATCACGTGGGCGCCCGGCAGACAGGAAACTGGGGGTGGCTGCCCGAGGTGCGAGTCCATGTCCATGCGAAAGCCGCTGAGAGTTCGAGACTAGGCGGAGTAAAGACTCGATTGCTGCCTCACCAGCTGAAGGCTGAACAACAGGTGCGTGCAGTGAAAGGGGTGGAGAGGGAGAACGGACACGCCGCTCAGATGTAAGAACTAACAACCTAGCGAAGACGTCAGGAGAAATCAGACTTAAAATTCAATATGGCACTCACATCTGCTGCAGTCTCGGCTGGCGGAAGGGACTTAGCCGTGCGAGCATGTCCTTCCCAAAAGGAGGGGACAGTAGATTTTGCAGACGGCTATGGATAGGAAGCACAACACGGTCGCGGAATGCACATAAGGCAACGCTGCGAACGTCAATCGTCGGAGATAGCGAAGATAGCGCGGATGAACCACTTAGTTTACTGCCTTGTCGTGTGGGCGAAGAGGTCCTATGTTGTTTTTGTGTACGATGTAGTGAGGTCAGTAAAGGATCAGTTTGCAATGGTAATAGTACCTAAAAGATGAGATAGGCTTAGAATGAAAACATGAGTTATAATTTGGAAAGACAACTAACCCCCTCAATATACGGGAGTATTTGGTCCCAGAAAAAGGCCCAGATCTCAGTGACACGGCCCAGTAATACTTCGTCTGAAATATTGCAGAGCTTAGCGTTGAGAGTGACCATACCTGCTGCGATGAGCTCGCGCGCGTCCGTTTCAAGAGTTGCCAGGGTTTTTGAAGGGGACACAGCTAGCACCGTTTGGATGTGCCGCCGTACAAGAGCGTTGAGGTCTTCTCTGTGTATACTTAAACTCTGGAGAACAGGTGATCGTGCAACGAACGTACATGGGTACACGTAATGGCTCCTCATTGAATAAGGGGAGGACATGCACATGTAGTGTGCGCCAGGGATTGTCCTTGTCTGTTATACCTACACTCGACGCACTCGAATGAATTGTAGGAGCACTTGCAATACCACTGCCGGATGGCGAGGTTGATGGTGCATGTGCGAGAGGGGGTGCCACAGGGCCTGTGGATAGAGAGGGGGTAATACAGGGATTAAGGCCTGCGAGAGTTCCGAGGCGGTGCATTTCTCGTGAGACGAGCTTCGCATCGTAAGTCCGAGTAGAGGAGGGCTAAGGTAGGGAACGTCAAATTTTGGATTGCGTAATGAATGGGAGGCATACTTTCGAGGGAGATGTGTGTGATTTGAGGGTATTTGCCGATGCAACAGAAGCCATTATCGGAGATTGGGAGACTGCAACTTCAGCGCGAGCAAGAGAATGCGACCGATCGCTGCGCTTGAGGCGCCGTGAAGGAGATGAACTTGTATTCCTGGGATTACTAATACTGTTCGACGCAGTAAAGAAGCCCAGTCGTCTTGATGATCGTTGCGGAGACGCGGCAAGGAACGGATCGGAACTAAGGATATTAACGTTCAGATTGTGATGTGCATGCGGTGCAGAACCATCAAAATCGGAGTGATTATCAGCATCAAGTAATGCTTCATGCTGCTGCCGGCGGCGATCATACTCGTGGCGAAAAGTGGGTAGGGCTAAGAAGGGACCCGAGCGGAAAACGGATGGTTTTGGACGCGGTGTTGCATCACTGGAGGATGCAGACCTGCGGTGATCACCAGGCCTGCGCTTTGAACTACTACTGTCGCTCTGCTCGTCATCACCGTCATCAACGCCAAAAGTCGATGACGGCGAAGCCGGGGGTCCACTGTCATATGACCGCCTAGCGCGGCTGAGCAGCATATTAGAAGCAGGTGGTACTTGACTCTGGGAAGTAACTGAAGAGGAAACATATTGACGGACCTTATGCTTCAAATAGGTACACTAGCAACTGTGGGATCGTCCGAGTCGACGACGACTATAATAGTTCTTACTAGCTGGCGAGACTTGGTGGCTGTGCAGCTGAGTGAACCTCAGCTGGAAATGCTTAGTCAGTGTGAGTAGGCCTATACTGACGCACACGTCACGTGAACGTGATATCATACCGACGTCAGTCCATGAAAAGCCAGCCGTATATAAAGCATCCCTTAGGGGGATGAACATCCTTGATTCAGTTCCCCGATTTCTTTAACAACCACAACAATGTCTGGTACGTCTTTTCATTTCTTGTCTCCTTACGATACCCACAGATTCGTTGTGTCTCAGGAACCACAGAACACACCAAAGACACAGCGCGCGTCGTTGCTGGCCTGAAGGCGGCTGTTCATAACCCTAATGTGTCGAGTGAGGCCAAGGAGAATGCCTTGAAGCGCCTTGAAGAGATGGGTCAGTCAGCAGACCCCATTATGCCAGCGCAGGCAAAGGCTACTCAGTCGGCAGCAGCCGAGGCACACGAGAAGAATGTTCTTCGGGGCTATAAGGCAGCGACTTCCAGTGCGTTGGTTGTTTGCGAGGGCGCACCATTTTGCTGATTTGTACAGATCCAAATGTTTCCGAGGAAGCCAAGCAACACGCCAGAGAAGTGTTGGAAGCTGCTGGTATTCAGCACAAGCTTGATACACATTCAGAGGAGGAACATCAGCATCGGGTCCTTGCAGGATATAAGGCAGCAATTCATAGTAAGATCTACTCCCGTACTATACTGCACCTTCTAATCGTGTGCGTCTTCAGATCCAAACGTTTCAGCTGCGGCCAAGCAACATGCCAGAGAGTATCTTGCAGATAGTGGGGTTACCGATCTGGATTGATTGAAAAGAAGTTGCATAGGATGATTGTATTTTACTCGCATCCATCGTCCTGCATTAATAGTATCATTATAGTTGCCTGCCGCTACTTACTTTGAGAGCTCCTCTAGTCGAGTCAAAACTCTGTCTACTCTGTCCTCCAGACCTTGCACATTTCCTGCGACTGTCCCCTTGTTAGCTTCTAAACTAGTCTCCACGTCTCCAACGGCAATTTTGAGAGCTTCCAGAGCGTCCCGTGTCTTACGTTGCTCTTCTTCGAGCGCCACCATCGTTCCCTGAAACTCACCCGCAGATGCATGCAGTGCAGAGAGGGTTCGCAAACGAGTTAATATATGTGGGATATGAGGAAGTGAAGGAGCTAGACGTGTTAACAGGGGGAGGAGTGCATCCTGGGTTGCAGTACCAGGAATTGTACTCCCAGCCGGTTGGGGTTGGCGCTTTTGCGCCTGCGCGGTAGATACTCGCTCAAGGTCGGACAACAGAAGTTTCAATCGACGGGAGATGGAGTCGATATGCCGTGGTTGAGTCAAAAGCATCAGTTGTGAGTTCAAGCGCGTGAGCATAGGAAGAAGAGGTGGAGTAATCGGCGTGGACTGAAAATTGGTTAGCAGTGCCCTGCCCCTTGGCGTCGAAAATGCAAACCTCATCCAAAGTCGCGCCCACGGAACCCACTAGCTTCTCTAGTTCCCCGACTCGTTTGTCCATTTCAGCGACGCCCCGAACTTCGGGTGCTCCCTGCACTTTCGACTCCCTTGTCTTGATATCCGCACTGGGCTGCTCCACGTCTCCTTCACTGTCTTCCCTTCCGCCATCGCCAAGCACAACACCAACTAATCTCCCTCTTCCCTCACGCCCCATTTTGACTTTCTCTAACCGTCTGCGCACGTCTACTAATCCTCTTATCATCTCACCGGCATCAACACCCTCGGCTTTAAGTGCAGGATTGGATGGATCTGCAACTTCACCCTCCAAAGCAGCAAGCTCAGCTTGTAGTGCTCGTAGGCGCGCAGGGAGAGGTCGCCTGCTCGGTGATGGTGAACGTGATGGAGAGGATGTCGGTGATGGGGGGTATGCAAAGCGTGATTCCTGACCTGATGTAGGGTCAGATGTTAGCGACCAGATACGCGGTATACACGTTTAAGAGAATAGAACGCACGTCGTCGTTCAGCTCTCCGAAAGTGTCTGCTCGCATCTTCCGCACTGATCAAGTTGCTGTTATCGAGTTCTTCTTTGGAGGTTTCTGCACCCCGCTGAGCGCGTACCCGCGTACCTGAGGGTTCATCAGAATCAGAATCTCCTCCCTGACAGTGATTAGTTGTTCTTAGATAATCTTAAATCAACATGAGTACTTACGTTGATCTCAGATGGGGGAGTCACGTCCTCTGTTTCATAGACATCTGGTGCAGTGTCCTATCATCAAACAATAAGTAGAGATAACACAGGGATAGTAGCGATGATACGCACGATGTCGGGGAGATATGCATATTTGTTCGCGCTCATCGTGAGCGTTCAAATTCAAACATTCACACTTTGTGCAGGCTTGCGGTAACAACCAGTGGTCGCGTCCATGTTGGACCCCGTGAGAAATTTCCATTGCAAAAATGTACCAAAAAAGCGTCACCTGAGCGATTCGAACACTCGCGGGCAAAGCCCAACCGCTTAGCTGTATATAGCAGGCGATCCCGTTAACCACTCCGGCAAAGTGACTTATTCACTTGGTAGAATAAAGGGTACACAGCTACATGTGCTGGTTATCCCACAATACCTTCAAAAGATTTGGCTGAATTCACTGGTATCTGCCTTCCGAGTGATCTATGTAGTCCCATCTGAATGTGTCTCTAGAGATATGTCGCCAAGTCCCGTCAAAATGCCCTCGATTAAGAACAACTATCAACCAGTGATAAATGTACGCTCAGGTGCAGTTTATTTACCCAGCTTAGAGTTCAGTAAGTTGTTCGTCAAAGAAAATAGCCGTGAGCGGTACGCCATCAGGACGAATAACACCGCGATACATGCCACTGCAATTCAGTGGAAGAGCCACTAGTACACCCAGAGTTCGAGTCAGTGTACGGTATCACACAAAAACGTGAACGTACCGTTTCCGTCTCTGTCCACTGCGATAACACCGCCTAATCCTCCTTCCTTGAACAGGTCACTAACAACATTCCGAGTTGCCTCGTCCAGGGACTCGTCAAGGTATTGCATCCGCCGAGCAATGTTGGAAGCTGCAGCACGGCGAATGTAGTACTAAAGTATATGGTTAGCACTTGCAAGCTGAACATTTGCTCGATTCTCACATCCCCGTCACCAGTACCAGAAACGCCTACACCCCCATATTTTGATTTGCCTCTTAAGCGATCCCAGGTACGCTTCACAAGTCCACCGTCCCTCTCCCATTCTTCAGCCCAAAATCCACATCCCATTACAGGGGTGTCCCCAATTCGACCAACAAGCTTGTTAGTACGCCCACCGGTGGAGGTTAGTGCTGCAATGCAGCCCCGGATATCAAGTGCGACCGCACCAACAGTACCTGTTGGCATCAAATCAAGAGGTTCCCAGGTCTCTTTGTCTTTGTCATCAGAAAGGGTGGCGACATCCGTAGCCTCTGAATTTGTGTCATCTGGTATTTCAGGTCTGGGATATTCAACGGGATCCTCAGGTAGTCCAAGACCACGTCGGTGTTCTCTCCATCGTGCCTCAGTCCAGAAGTAGGATGGATCAACCTGACGTACGCCAAGTGAAACGCCTATAGCTTCTGCTGCCGCACCTGACAACATTGGGTGAGGGGCAAGCTGGGGCGCAAGGTAGAGAGCGCGTGCGAGGTGAGAAGGATTTTTAGTGCGGGTAATTAACGTAACCGAGGATCCACGTCGGGAAGAGGGCATTGCGGGGTGTGATGCAGGAGGCTTGGAGACCATCAAGGAAGTCTCGAGCTCAATCTAGATAGCATGATATACCCAAGGGCTCTTGATCTTAGGTAAGGAAACGTACCTTGCCTGCAACATTGAAGACCGCGCCATGCCCAGAGTTAAACAATGGGCAGTCTATGGATCATACATAGAAGTTAGTTATCGACTGCCCGAATACTTGTTTATCCCACCTTCCATGACTGATACAGCCTCGACTGCAGCATCCATAGCCTCTCCTCCGCTCTTGAGCACCTCATATCCCGCTTTCAATGCCCGTGAGAGTGCAGCCCTGTACATAGCGCGTTGCTCAGGCGTTGAGCCATCGCGTACCATAGTACCAGCACCGCCGTGGATGACAAGCACATAGTTGGGCTCCGCAGACTTCTTGCTGGGCTTGAGCGTAGAGTTGGCATTCTTCGAGGCGGGCATTGTAAGCAACAAGGAGATTCTGCAGCAGGTAAACTGAAAGCAAGAACGGCCTGGGAAGCAAGGTCGCCCACACAAAGATAAGACAAAAATGTATGCACCACGACATTATTTAGTATTGATCCAATCATAGACAAAATAATGATTCCATGCGATCTGAGATCTGTAGTATGGTTCGAACGGAGTTTGTGTAAGATGCCTGTGAGAAACTTTTTATAATTAATATTGGTCACATGATCATTAGCGTACCATGATTCCAATTTCAAGCGCTCAAGCTCGTTTTCAACCTGACCACTAAATTACACTTTTCCGTCTTCTTCCCCCCTCCTCCCGTTGTGCAATTCAGTGGCAAGATCAGGAGTATCGAGTTAGGAGAAAAAGGATCACATGTCCAGGAGCGTAGCATGAGCTCACTGGCATGAAAGGTGCACATGGCGTCGACACCAATTGGAAATGGCTCCGTTCTTGTGCTCCGGTCTTACAGTACGAGCTACTTTCACACCCGTTCTCGCTTACTTTAAAGATGTAGATATGGATACGCAGCTAAACTGAATGAACGTAACGGACATATTTGTATGACCAGTGAGTCAGTTGGACTCTTGTGATTACGCATGAGAGTTACGACTTCAAGTCACTCAAGGGAATCTTTCCAATACCTTGAGTCTTGATGGAACGATCGTCCAATTCTATCTACCATAGGAAATGTAAGGATTGTATATCCTCTACGCGCGGACCATCATGGCTGTCGTCTCCGTGGCTCAGTGATGCGAACGGCGTCACACCGCTTCAATTTGAACGAGTTAAACTTACGAGGATGCATATATCTTTTCCATTCTCTTTCATCATTCTACGGTGTGCTCAGATTTCACGGCATCCTTGCTTGACCGGTCCTCATCTAATGCATCACACGCTCCCTTGCTCGCTCCGGCCTATTTGACTGATCGAAAACGTATATAAAGCGCGCATGTACTCTCGTATTCACAGCGAACTAAAGATTCCCCGTTCAAAAGCACCTCAGAAAGTCCTTGAAACGTCTGGTCTTGTAAACTCGTCTCAAAAGTCTTGTCCTACTCTGGTATCGTAGCTACGTCGATCTGCTCTTTGTCACTATCACCTTTTCCTCATCCTATATCTCTCTCGTGCTGTTCACCCTCTCCTTCAAACTCAAGCCCTACCTTACAGAGATTACCTGCTCAACATCATATGGACGACTATTTACCCGATTCCATTGGTTTTCAGACTGTCGCAGTGTGTGCTCCTCCTCACCCGCCGATTCTATTCGCTCATTTAAATCCAGTATACTGCAGGTAGTCTATGTTTCCCAATTTCTGTCGGCAAAACTGAATCTCCAGAACAGTTGCATCCATAGCGGTTTTGGTAAGCAGGACCAAACGGATAATAATAAATAATGATTTGATTTTTCTTTGCAGTGTCTTGACTTCATCATCACTTTCGACTCGGAGGTCAGTTATTTTCAATGGCGCTTTAGTAAAGTTGACAACATGCCAGGTTTGTTGGACATGGGGAAGAGGGTGGGGTATCACGAGAATAATCTTCATCGTTTCTCGCTATTTGCCATTCGTAGGTCTTGTTATGACCGTATACTGTAAGTATTCACGACCTTCTGTCCACCCTCGCCCTTAACTGAGGTCTCACGGATAGACTCGGTTGGATCCACTCGTGGAGGAATTGTAAGCTCTTCACGATACGACATTAAAAATACACATGACGATATTTCAGCCCGATCATGGTATATTCACTGTTGTATATGATTGTTACGTATAACAAGAACGTCACCTAAAATCCAATCCTCAATTATTTTCCAGGCGTCCGTTGGTCAAGTGTAGCTACTGCTGAGCGTGAGTACCAACTCCAAGTCAAATTATTCCCTTTCTGATGATTTTTCTTATTCAAAGTTCTGCTTGTGTTAAGGACATATGCGGTTTGGGGCGGTAACAAGAGGTTCTTGATTTTGACATTGGTTTTTACCACGGTAACTTCAGTCTCTTTCTCCTGAGCCATTTGCTTTCGACTGAAAAATAAACTATTCCTTCAGGCCATATCAGTGACTGTGCTGGTACTCACATATGTCACTGCAAGTAAATCCGGAGGTCTGTATCTTTGATTCGAATTTCTTTTGCTTACACCATTTCCTCAGATTCGACTGGCGTATTTGAGGAAGTACCTGACTCTAGCATTGTTTATGGTCTGTTGATGTTAGTCGAGCTTGGTACGTAGCATTGTAATGATTCTGCTCAGTTACCGTACGATCCTCCGCAGTGCTGATGATGCTGACACTGTACAAACGCTTCAAATCTCCCCGATCAGAAGATAGTCTGCTGATGAATACTTTATATCGGGATGGTCTAATTTATATGCTATGTATTACTCGTGAGTTTCAAAGGTTCTTGTGAGGAGTGCGGCCTTACTTTTCGCAGTGGTCTCGATGGCAAATTGTATTTCCATCGTTTTACTACCTGTCAGCAAGTCGCTTTCATATCGCCACATAAACCTCTGATCCGTGAATCCAGCCATCTTACAGTGCACTTCTCGCCGGGTAAGCCATGTCGTTACTCGCTTCGTGTTTAAAGCTGAATCAGAGAAGCCCACAGTTAGTTACTCATAGCGTTCTCGCCTCACGCATCCTGTTCAATTTACGAGAAATGTCTGACTTGCAGGATGCTGTGACAGAGGAGTCCACTATGTTGGGAGTAGTTTCTCAACCCATAGCATTTCAAGCACCACCTTGCACGGATCATACAGAGCTGTGGGATTTTACGAGTTGCTAGTCCAATATTTACATCATCTTGGTTTTTATCGATAATCTTAGGCCCTTGTGAGGTCATTAATATAGTCAATTCAATAGTTCGTGCATGCGATGTATAGTAAGCATTCAAATTGTCCTGGAACGTATTATGGCATCGGTGTGTTGTCTCTAAATTCTAATACATGTATGAAGGAAGCATATGGTATAGCTGAAGTATTTGATTAAAGATCAGCATCCCATCTCACAAGTACCCATACGTTCTTGATGTTTGACGGGTTGGCGCTCGGCAACGGCATCAGTTGTCTGAGCGAGAATGCAGAGAGGCACTATCCACAACAGAATGAGATCCAGAGCTGGAGGGAAGGAATACACAATACGCTCAAGTTCAAGTCTCGTCAAACAATTGATAGGCTTACCTCGGCGTGACATCTGACTCTTGTTCATCTTGAGTAGTGTTAGCACCGTTCTCCGATGAAGGTACCTCGCGAGTTGCAGCTGCAATTGCCGATTAATCAATGCGACGTCGTTATAGGGTACAAAAAACCAACATTTACCGCGTGCGTATGGTGCTCGATAAAGCTGACTTGACGGCAACTGGAGGTTTA